GGGACCAACTCTCAGATATTTCTGACTTAACTGAGCTTAACAGAATTTTCTATGAACAGAACATGATACCTCATTACTATCACGCAAAATTAAGTCTTTTTGATAGCAATTTGTGCCTACCTTGCGGCACATATCCCACAGAGACAGATTTTCTTCTATCAGTTTGTCCACAACCGCTTCAGAAGCGTCGTCCAAGTTCCTTCCCTTAGCTGCGAAACTCAGTAGCTTAAAGTACCACTGTAAGCTTCAAATCAGTTTAAATTTAACATTCACCTTCGAATCTTTTATGACGCTTCCCCTGTGACCACGTCGTTGGTAATGCGACAGTAGTCCGTTACGGTAGAGTCTGCATACATTACAATACCGATTGACGTTGCCAGCTCTCCTTTCAGGCGACGATGAGAGCGAACGCCGCTGTTTGCTGGCCAAGGACGAATGCTTGGTCAGTTCTTCGTCTCTTTCTTTCGTTCTTGGAGTCGTCAGTACATTGTCACTTTTTGAACGAACGATGTGCGGAGAAGGAGAAGAGGGTTCAAATCGAGCGTCTGAATGGTCGGCTTCAGTGTTTCGTCTCTTAGCTAAAATTGCAAGAAATTTAAACGACATTAAAAGCTGTCACCATTGCTTTACAACAACAACAGGGATAATCACATTGAATAAACAGCGCTCAGGTCGATCAAGGCAAATCGCAGGTCTAAACGGCATTTATGTCAGATCGCACTGCTGTATCTCTGGTCAGTTCTGGCATGACCACACTAGAGCACAGAGGTATCACTGTTGTTCGCAAGTCAGCGAACTGCTACCTATTTATCGGCTGGTTGCACCCCAGCAACGAAGGATAAACTCTTTGCTTAAAAGAATTAGCAGCTATCAAAAATTTTGTTTTTTTCAGGATTCAGAACCTGCACCGCTGGAGTTAGAAGCCAACCTACTGGCCAACCAAGAAATCACTTCAGCACCGCGACTCCTGTTAAAAACTTAAAATTTTATTTAACTTAAACGAGCGTAGTAAAAAACGATGAATTTATTCTTCATCTTATTTGTAAAGTACTTTACGAACTTCGCTGCTTCGAAACTCGCAATAGCGTCCTTGCCACTGAGAGGAAGACGTCAGAAATTCTATTAATCTTTGATATTACATTTCAGTCCAATTTCTAACAATGCAGTCCACTTGTTGTCGCACTTGTGAAAATTCTAAACAATTCGACACCATGTCATGATGCAGTTTGGCGTCCATCACTAAAGATATTATAATAAAGCCATGTAGCCGAGGTCTGTTTAAAAGTTCTCAGCGCTTTAGAAGCAAGGATACAAAGTGAACAAACCGTGTAAACGCTAAAAAATGACATGCGTTTGCTATTCGTACCAGCGGTACGGAAAACTAACTTTCGCAGGAAAACCCAGATTTTACCTAATAATATCTGTACACTTTTTATTGTCAGCGAGTTACAATTGTAGTTACTTGATTATCAACCGGAATGACGCTTTCGTGCCTTCACAATCAGGATTATTCATACCAACCAAATAGAGAAAAAATAAAATTTATCATTTTTTGAATATCGGGTGTCCTCGCTTTCATGATTGTGCCCCCTTTGTGCACTTCTTTATATGAAGTTGGTGGTGCAGTGCTGATTTGCGTTTTTATGTCATCAGCCAGGAGTGCCTTATTTTTTTTTAAAGCATAGTCTACAGCCATGTGGCAAGCGTAGCATGTAGTTTGGTGTTTCCTTCCAACAGGGTGGTACTCATTTATCAACCTCGGAAGGGAGAAGTGCGACCATGGCTTGAACTGGGGACCTATTGGTTCTGAGCTCGATGCTACATCGACTGATCAACTCCATTGGCCTACAGCGATGTGTAGTGAATTCATGAATATTACAAAGATTGTCCCAGTGCGGGATCGAACCCGGCATCTCCGATGTTGGAAGGAGACCTTTAAGACAATGAACCAACACGCCACAACCAAACAAAGCTATGGTCTAATCAGAGGACGTAGCCTGAATATTAGTTATGATGTAGTGGCTTCCGATCGAACGCAGCTGTACTGCGGTTAAACTACTCGCTGCATCAATACTTCGCTCGCTGATATCGGTATCAGATATTGTGTCTGTCATCCTTCATACAGTCAATTTTGCTGAATGCAGCTATTATCCTAATAAACGGTTGATTGATTTGCTAATGATTGAAGGTCATAAACAATAAAGAGATTATGCAGCCATATAGCATACTTGAAAAGTTGATCAAGAT